ATATGAATTTGTAAGCGTAATTTAATTGAAGTTGAAGATCTAGGAGTGTGAGTAGTAGTTGAGTTGTTTTTATTGCCTTTGGTCTGTTTTTAAGACTGTCCATTCAAGGTGTTGACTCTAATGAATTTTTTTTTTTACTAGAAATATAATAGACTTGTTTTTGTCTTTTTAGGTTTGACTATGACGGTACTGTAAGCATGCATCCCTCAATTTAGTCAAGATTTACTAGTGTCAGCAGTAATAGAGATTTGTGATCAGTTGGCATGCAGGTGACAGGTAGGACAGCAATTATTGAGTGCTGGTTGTGTGCTGCCCTTTATTAAATGTTGAGGATGGTAAACGCCTGATGTCATGTTGTTTAAAACTGGATCATCAATGTAAATCATGTATGCATTAACTCTCTTTTGAAAAGATCCAATGTAGCCTGTTAACAGATGCAAATAGAATACTTACGTTCCAGGAGTACAGACAACAAAGCTATGATGAATTAGCTTGAGAAACTCAGAACCAATAGGGAAGGATTTAGTGGCCTTGGGAGGTCATGAATAGATACCTGAAAGCTGAGCTCCATTTTGCATGCATGATACTGAATCCTGAGAAGGCAGAGTTTGCATGATCACACCTGCATGACATACAAAATGATACTTTACCACCTATTAAATTGAACAGCCTGACTTGGGAACAATAAGCCCCTTGGTTATGAGTTATTTTGCTATCTGTTTTAAGTAAATCACAAAAACTAAAGTCAAGGAAAAAAGAAATGCCCTTTTATCAGACCTTATCCATTAAGTAGGTTAATTAACATTTAATTAACCTTTTTATATTATAAATACAAATCATTATCATCTTCAAAAAAGAACAGGGTTTTCAAGAATCACTGATGTAAAATTTACAGCTATAAGTATAAGCATTAATTTCATATGTTGCAAATTAAAACCAGTTAAACGCTTATAAATTTATAAAAATATAAAATATTAACCACATAAGTTATGAACTATTACAGTTAGGTTGTTGAGTACAATGCATGGTTATTAGAAATTTTATATTTTTTTTGAAGAATATCATCATTCAAAGATTCTTAGGCTCTAACTTGGGCTGTGTTAATGTCTTTTTATAAGCATATAATTCAAAGAAGGAAAGTATCATCTCTATCTTACAGGAAACTTTAGACATAAAATACCAAAAGCAATATAGAATTAACTTTATTTTAAAATTACAATATGTGTGGAAGAAAGTTTACAAAACTTAAATATACTTGCCCTTGCCTAGGTGCACTGATATAAGGCTTCATTTTAAACATGAAACTCATTCCTGATCATTTTCCTTGGCAATGGGCACAGAAAAATTCTTCACGTTCTTTTAAAATGTTGAGTTACCAGACATGGTCATCATCAGGCTTGACAATTTTGCTCTTGTTACCTTAATTCTTTTAGATTTTATGCTTTGCAATTAGGTCTAGCATTTCCTCATCTGGGAGTTAGGAAAATAATTTCCTTTAGGAGAGCATTGCAACAGTTTGGATTTCCACCATCTCTCTTCCTTTGCTTCTAGCAAGTAGAGTCATGGCTAAATTGTACAGTAATCTGATGACAGTTGACATGTAAGGGTAGTGTTAACTTCAGGTGGACTGTCAGAGTGCAGTGTTCACTCAGTTATGGGCCATAAAAAATCTGGAGTAACAAGTGCTTAGTGACACAGTCTGCTCCCTTTTCTGGTGTATCACTAGAGAAACTGAAAGGGAAGAAAAAAAAAATCCTCAAGAAACACATTCTCCATGTGTAGCCACACCTGAGCCCCAGTGAGTGACACGCCTCTCTGTGGGTTTGTAATTCCCATCTAGAACTAAAGGACACTTCTTGAAGAAAGGCTTAAACGAACCCACAAGGACACCCGTGTTCATCAGGAAGACCTRGATCAAAATGTAATTGCTAATCTTTAAACTTCTCCTTAATTGGTCCCTTTTCCGTTGTCATGGTTTGTGATTTTTTACTCTATCCAGGAAATGCTTCTCTTCCAGCAAGCCAACTGGAGAAAAGAAGGATAAAACGTGGAAAGAAGGTCGCTTCTGGAAAAGGGTTAAAGAGCACTCTCTGGAGTTTGCGTCCTGATTTAACAAAGACTCACAGAATAAATACTTGGAATTTCCGCCCCTCCCCCTAAGCCGGCAAAGTGGCTTGCATTCAAGTTAAATGTAATTTCTTTTTCTTTTTTTTTAACTGGAAATCGCTTCAATAACTCCAAAAAATTGCAACTGGTAAACCTTAAAAGGCAAGGAGAAATGTTATGCCTGTAAAGGAACGAACAATAAACATTGCGAAGAGAAACTCATCTTCCCTAAGTATGTGGAAGCCCTTTTCTGCGCGAGTGTCCAGTCCCCAACCTGCTCAAACTGCGATTTGAAGCGAAGTAACAAGTGTCGGGTCTGTGCGACGAGAGAAGCTGTGAGGCGGGAGGCTGCGCGGAGATCAGGCGGCATTGCTTCAACTTATCTAGTTTTTATATTGGTGGGAAAAGCAAAGAAACAAACAAAAGCAAAAGCACCGCACCCCCAGTCCCTAAGGTAAGAGTTGCCAGAATCATTTTCTTGGTTAGCAAATTCAGGAGTTTCGACCTGAGAGTGTCCGGATTGGCACCCCTTTACACGTAACACGCAGCGTCGGTCCAGGAATCACCCAGCCGCTGGTATTGGCACCAAGTCCCTGGGGTCCACCCTCTTGGTTTGGTGCGAATGCAAATATGCCCTTGACACTGTTGGGGGTTTGAATGGGAGTCGGGAAAAGCACTGACAAGGGAGGAGWCTACAGCCCAGTTCGAAATAAAAAGCACACAAAACTGGAGAGAAGAAAGTGTGCGGGGCGAGAAAGAGGTAGGGGCGGGAAACCAGTGTCGGGCCCCAGCCCTGTGTGGGTAGAGCAGGTGCACAGCCGCGCAAGCCTCGCGCTCCAGTGACCGTCTTGTCCTCCGTGAAAAGTGGAATGTGGCGCGCGTGCTACCCACTAGGGATGGTGACCTAGTCCGGGGTGTTCGCACAGCCCGTTCCAACTTGGGGCTGCAGGATCACCGCCTTCCACTGGGATCTGGGACCTGGCACATCGTGGTGAACCCGCCGCGAGCGTCTGCCAGAAGGCGGACACCTGCGCATCTGTGCGCTTGGGCTCTCCAACTTCTCCAAACTTCTGCAGCAACTTGTTCTGAGTGCTCATTCAGCGGCACAGCTCCCTGCAATTACAGCTGTCTGGATTCGTGGCTACAGGAGGGGAGTACAAGAAAGCCGCGGGTGATGAGGCGGCCTTCAGAGTTTGGGGGGATGATCTCACGGTTTTCAGTATTTGAGCCATAGTTTGCTCTTTCCATTCTCTCTCCCCAACGTGACAAACAGCTTGTGCACACTAAGTTCGTTTTAAAGTGGGAATCGGAGAGGGAGTCCTGGGGATGGACCGTCTTTCAAACCTTAAGTTTATTGGAAACACTATAAGTTCATTTAAACTACCCCAGGTCTAAGTTCCAACTCCCCTCCTGCAGGCTGTGACTGAGCAGTGCTAGTTGGAGCTGCTGGCCCGCCAACCGGAGGATTCCCTGGCTCGGAAACCAACAGCAGACATGGCCAGTCCAACATCACACAGCTGGAACATCTGCAGGGGTGCGGGTTTAGAATCTGGAACACCGAACCCGGAGGTGACAACGCCCAGCAGAAACGCAGCAGTTCCCCGGCCCGCTAGCGGGTCCGGGGAGCACAAGGTGCTCACAGAGCAGGGGCATGTGGGGCCCTGGCGCCGTGGGGTCGTCCCAGCGAGCGCGCAACGTGGGCGCGGGCGGCGGCAGCGTGGGGAGCTACTGCTCCGCCAGTGGGCGTCTTCTGCCGCCGCCGCCACCGCCGCCTCCACGGGCAGCGGCACTGCGGCGCTTTTCTCTGCTGCTTTGGGTCAGGCACCGAGGCTCAGCTGCCGGAGCGCGCACTAACCACGCCACGCCTGCAGGCAGCGTCTCCGCAGACCCTCGCCCGGGCGGGGAGGACGCCGATTGTGCGCGCCAGCCAGTAGCCAGTCGCGGTCGCCCGGGACTCGCCCCCAACCCGGGATCCTTCAGCACCCGAAGCTGAGCACGATGTGAAGACCGGGCCGGGAGGGGCTTGGGAGACAGGCTAGGAGGACCAGACAGGCGCTCGGGCCGACCGGCCGAGGAGGGCAGGTCCTGCGGGGGCGGAGCCCGCCGGGTCCCGCTCGCCGCGCCCCTCCGGCCGCCGGCCTGCCCCCACGGCGGCCCGAGGAGGAGGGCCATGGCCAGCCCTGCGGAGGCTCTTGCTCCCCGCCCCCAAGCTCCGTTGCCAGAGGCTGGGGACGAGCCGAGCCCCGGCCCCGGGAAACTCCGCCCGGAACCCCGGCGCAGCGCTGCCGGCGGGGGGAGCGCGGCGGGCCCGGGCCTGGCCCCTGAGCGGCCTGGCCGCGGCTGGGCCGAACGCGCCGCGCCCCCGCGCCCGCCCCTCTCCTCGGCAGGCCGCTCCAGCCCCGCGGGGGTCTCCGGCGCCCTCTCTGCGCTCGGTGCTGGTGGCTGCGGCTGGGTCGCGGCTCGTGCTCCCTTCGCGCTTGCCTTCTCCTCCCCTGTCCCCTCCTCCTCTCCATCTTCCTTTTACTTCTGGCCGCCGCCCCCCCTGCCCCCTCCCCCTTTTCTCTCCTCCTCATCTGCCTTTCACCTCCCCGTGCGTCTCCCAGGAAGGGAGGGCGCAGCGGCGGCGGCTCGAGGAGGCGGCGGCGATGCTGGCGGAGGAGGAGGAGGAGGACAAGAGGCAGCTCCCTTGAGCGTCCCCCCCAGCAGTAGTCACCGCGGCGGCGGTGGCAGCGGCGGGCGGCGGCGGCTCTTCCTCTCGCCTGTGCTCCAGGGCTTGCTGCTCCCAGCCCGCGCCGGGCCCCGGCCGCCGCCGCCGCCTCGGCTTCCCCTCGGCCGGATCGCGCGCCGCGCGGGCTCCCCTGGCTTCGCGGACGCCGGCGGGGGCTACCCCGGCCCCTCGGGCGGCGGCCGGACTCCGCGGCGGCTGGGAGGCGCCAGCTTCGCTCTCGCCGCCGCGTCGCCGCTTCTCTTCGGCTCCGACATGGAAGATGGACCTTCTAATAACGCGAGCTGCTTCCGAAGGCTGACCGAGTGTTTCCTGAGCCCTAGTAAGTGCCCTAGCTCCAGGTTTCCGGTGGCTGGGGCGTTTCTCGGTCTGTGGGGAGCTGTTGGGGGGCTCGGACCTCGGGGTGAGAAGGGAGCTACTKCGGTGGGTGCGTGTGTCAGAGGTGCTTAGCGCCCAGCGGCCCTTCACGGGGCGGGGGGGGGGGAGGTGGTGGCCCTCCGGTGGCACGCGGGAGCGTCAGCGCAGGGGCACCGGGCTTTCCCGGGACTCGCGTGCGCGCAGGAAGGGTGGTCTTGTAGGGCCGCGAGAGCCGGGCGTTTAATGGGGACCTGCCTCCTGTCTTCGCCCCCAGGGGCAGGCTCCTGGCTGCACTGACCCGGCACGTATTTCGTACTCTCAACTTTGACTCCGCTTAAGCTAGGTTTCTCTTTCTTGAGCCGGTGACCTCTTAACAGGAGTAAAAGCGTTTCCCTCCACTCGGGGGACCGGCCCTCTGGGTTCCTGTGGCTGGGGTGAGGACAGACCAGAGTCCTGGCACCCTACGTTTCCACACCCTTCTAGTGAACGTGTTGGAGAGCGTGGGCCAGGGAAGTGGAAGTGGATGCCCCCCCACACACAAAGAGGACGCGCCCCCACCCCGATCGACCTAATGCAGACTCGGGTGTTAGCTGGTGTTTGGGTTGGTAATAAAAGGGAAGGACAATGGGGCGTTAGCGTGGAAGAAGAAGGCGCCTCCGGTTCCAAATCGCCCTTTCGGACTTGGTGTGGCCACTCCGTCTCGCCACCCGCGGGCGCGCGTCTGAGAGCGCGCTGGGGCAGGGGCGACAGAAGGCGTGTCACGGGGGAGGGGGACCTGATCGAGCAGAAAAGTCAAGGCAGAGAGAGCTTCGCTAGAAGCTAGGAGGCAATCGAGAGATGTTGAGGAAACCCGCGCCGGATGCGCAAAGGAGGGAGTCGCCGCTGTCGTTGATGGAGGGCGAGCGGGGTGAGGACAGGAAAACTGGGACGGGAGGGGGGAGGCGGGACCAGGTGGGAGCCTCCTGTGGTCCTGGAGATGCTGTCCGCGGAGCACAGGGCGACTCTGGAGTCGGCCGGCCGGCCGGGCGCGGCTCCCCGCGGCCCTGAGCGCGGCTAAGGCGCCACCGTCCACCGCGTGCGCACCCGAGCCTTTGTCTGCTCCTCGCTGGCGAACCGCGTTTCCGCGGCGCTTTCTCGGGGCAGGATCTCCTCCAGGCTGCGGTTAGGCTTCCCGCTCCCAGCTGCAGCACACTCCCTGACCTCAGCCGACCCGCGGCTCGCTGGCACTAGGGTCGAGCCCCTCCCCACGGCCAGAGCTCCTCTTGGCTTACAGCCCACCCAGGCGCCTTTGAAGTGCAGCTGCCAAGGGCTGGCGAGCCTGTCCGGCGCGTGGCTCTTCTGTTCTCTGAAATCCCGCATTCCGATTGTGGACCAGTACGCGATAGCCTTGTGGCCTCTTATTAAATTTGTTTGCGGGCAATAGCTGCTGGCGGCAGATCTCTGCTTGTATTTGCAAGTTGGCTTGATTGCCCAGCAGGGCGTGGGCCCTGTACTCCCAGCTGACCTCTTAAGTCCTGTGGCTTCCCCCAGGTATCTGCTTCCACACCCAGCTTCATATGTGAGTTGAATTCGTGATCCATGGGTACTTAAGTTAAAAAGGGACGTGTGTCTGGGTATGAGTATGTTCATGGAATGAGCTTGTGACCCTCAGATGTGGTCAGCAGAGCCATTTCTTACTTTGTGTAAAAGACCCCATGAATTGGTCATGGATTAAAGGTGGTGTGAGAGTGTGGTGCCCTGCTGTCTGTCTGGGGGGCATTGGAATAAACCTCAGACCTGGGCTAGAATTGGATTTGCTTAGGGTCCTCTTCTTGGTGCACTCCAGAATTCCTTTTTTACAAAATAAACATCATCTTCTCTCCTATGACAAGGGATTGGGGATGGTGTTGAAGGCTGCTGTACCTTGCAGTGACAAACTCTGTTTTGGGGAAGAGGTGGGACTTAGGCTTCGGGGTATAGGTATTTGGAAGGAACACGTTTTTCTGGAGATGATGGTGTTTGTTTTTGCACGCTGCTGTGATTTCTGTCTGTCCCGGCTGGGGCTAACATGGTGATGTACATTGTGGAGCAGAATAAAGATTAGCAGCCCAAGACAGGTGCTTAAGTTGTCTCTGAGAAATCATGGGCTTTCCCTCTAGAAAGACAGAGCACCCAGAGGAGAGGGCCTTAAGAGGCATCCATTCTGTACAGAGTTCCTGCCAGGAGAAGCCAGCTAGGAAGTTACAACTGCCCCCTCTCCCTTGGAAGCAGTTTAGGGTTCAGCTAGGAACAAAAGGCTCCAGCTGTCTTATTTGGGACTTTATACTAAGATAGTAAATGTTAAGATACTTTTAAACAGGATCTGTAGGTAGAGTCTCCTCACTCAAGAATGGGAAGAGGAAAGTGATCCTACAGGGAATAGCGTCCACTGTTGGGATCTTTGGTTCTGTCTGTTGTTGCTTAAAAAGCTACCCTGGTTTCAATTCCTAAAGTAGTTGAAGCTTGACAGAATTTTCTAATAGTTTTCATTAAAAGTCAGCCTTTTGGAAAGAAAAATTTCCACAACCAAGAAGTCATCAGGGACCACAATTTCAGACACTGTTCTCCCATTCACTGTCACTGCGTCTGTAAATGGGCCTTTTGGAAGGAAAAATTTCTGGATACTATAAGAATGTAAATGTGCCTGAATGTCTTTGGACTTGTCTGTGTTGAGTATTTAATTCCCATTTATTTCCTTCCTTCCTTCCTTCCTTCCTTCCTTTCTTTTTGTGGAGAGGAGGGTACTGGTATGGGGATTGAACTCAGGGGCACTCAACCACTGAGCCACATTCCCAGCTTTGTTCTGTAATTTGTTTAGAGACAGGGTCTCACTGAGTTGCTTAGTGCCTTTGTGTTGCTGAGGCTGACATTGAACTCATGATCTCCTGCCTCAGGCTCCCTAGTGGCTGGGATTACAGGTGTATGCCACTCTGCCTGACTTACTCCCCATTTTCTTTTGATTGATCTTTTGGTTTGATAAGTCATGTACAGGCTGCTAGGTCCAATAATTGTACAAATACTTTTCATTTGTATGTCTCTTAGTTCCATTCCTATGTTTTGGCTTTGCAGTTTGGTTCACTCAGTCATTCCCTGAAAAGATATTTCTTCCAAAGCTGCTGCCCCTAGTCTGATGTGGACATAGACTGAGCAGAGCCATGGACCCATCCTGGGGGAATTTGCCAACTGTGAGAAAAAGGAAGTGCCTGGAAGTGGGTTGGTGTTAATGCCCAGTGCTCCAAGAGGTCATTGGTCTCTATGCCTGATGCCCTTGCTCTGTGTCTGTAACTGATTTTGTCTGATTTTCTGTCATCTGACGACCACCAACTCTTCCTCAGACGTCCAATATCACACTTCATTGCTAGGAGAGCTGCAGATTGCAATAGGAGTCCTATCAGGTGTCCCAGAGTGAGTACAGTGAATGTCACTTTGCAGTGTGATGAGCGTGTCGGATGTAGAGCTGCGAAGTCGTGCTAGGATAGGCCAGTATACACTGTGGCCAGTCTTCGGTAACAAACACAGGCCGTCTGCACCAGTGCTGTTGCTCCAAGGCCACACAGCTTGAGGAAGTTCCTGGTGAGCCTTACATGGGACATATCTTGAAAGAAACTTGGAGTCTGAGTTGAGAATATTGCTCTAAGGACACTCGGAAACCACAGATAGCCCATACAGAGAATGCAGGGAAAGCACGCGGGACAGACTTGTGAATGCACAGTGCAAAACCCTTCAGACTGCAACTGTTGTATGTTTCTCAAATATTCAAAACAAAATTATATTTGTCAAAACTGGAGTTTAAGCACACTTCATGCCTATCTCTAGCCACTCTGTTTCCTAAGACATGGGAGTTGTATGGCCAATACTGGACTGGACTCAGACAAATGTCATCCTTTTTAAAGAGCAAATGTGCTTAGCCCTTAGGAGCTACACTAGGCTTGACATCAGTGTACTCCTGTGGGCTCCACAAGGCTGAAGCTGTAGAAGAAAATAAAGTTCACAGTGCAGTATTAGAAGAGGGTCTAGATCAGCCGACGGCCAACTGGCAGCCTGCTGGTGGGCCTATACAGGGTACACTGTGGGAGGGAGTGGAGATGACAGTCGCCCCATCTGACATGCAGATACAGATGCTCTGAAGAACAGCCCAGCAAAGCCTTGAGGTCCTGCTAGGCTGAGGGTGAGTGTCCAGTGTCATTGACTCTCTGTGGAGGGTGAGCTGTTTATTGAGTAGGTACTCAGTCCAAAGGGCAAAGTTATTTAATCTGGGCAGGATTAGTTGGGTTATTAATCATGTAATTCCATGAAAATCCATCTTTAGTGTGGGGGGAAAGAAAAACAACCCGTACTCCTTAAAAGTGGCTGAGAAGCAGTAGAGCTATTAGAAGATGGTGTCTTCTGCTATTTCAACCTGACAAACTGGCTCTAGATCATTTTTGCACATAAACCGTTTTCTGCCCCATTAGGAGACAATGCAGTGCAGTGGGTAGTGAAGCAAATGTTTTCTTTAGTGTAAAGCAGGTGAAGCGTGGCATGTTGAGCACTTCAACAATTCATTCACTGTGGGTTCTTGTTTAAAAACAGCCCATGCAGTCTGAGAAGGGGAGAAAAAGTAATTTTCTTGTAAAAGGAATATTTTCCCTTAAAAGGAAAGCAGTTGTAATCCAAAACATTTTAATTTGCTTTTAAAATGTAGACCAAACTCCTGCAGCTGATCTTTTTCCAAGTCTGCCTAAAGTAAAACTCTCAGGGACAGAAGAGCTCAGGACTTGGAGCCAGGGCAGCTGGCCTCTAGGGTTCCTGTTTATCACAGCACAGGACACTTTCTGGACTCACCCTGTTGGTTTGCTGGCCTCTGCTTATTGCCCATGCCCTCTCTCTAGAAGGCAAGCTCGGGGAGAGCCTGGGGGCAGGGTTTGTCTTTTTTGGTTATAAGTGTGACAGTGGCTGACACACATG